GTGCTTGAGTGTGAAATTTATCTTTGTAAAAATTCGTCACGCAGCTTCAAATATCCTCGAAATGTTTTCTTTAGAACATGCAAGCTTTTCCACGGTGTTTATCTTCACCGGCGAGAACTTGGTAAATCAGTTCTAAAAATCATTAATAATAATCTCATGCTGTTAAAATGCTATACCTTCTATTGTTAGCCTAAAACAACTAAGTATATTTTTTGTTATTACGGTTGTACTGAGTGTATGTAAGAAAATGCACTATCCCATATCATTCGGCCGCGTTCAGACAACACGCGCCCGCTACGTGGTACGTGCACCCGCGTCTTACTCGCTTCGAAATTCGTTACATATAATTTGAGTCACACAGCAATAAATCTGAAATTGCATTTATCGACGTTCAACCGCACACGCTTCGCACACGCCACACGCCCGCCTCGTTCCCGCTTCGCGCTGGCCCCGCGCTCACCCCGCATACGCGCTGCACCCGCCCCGCTACTCCTTGCACCCGCGCTTCGGCTAGTGTCGTATTGACTGTGATCAAGTTTACTGGCTTGATGGGTTTTTTAATTCAATAATAAAGGATGACATCGATAAAAAACATTTATTTCTTTGGTGGAGGAAAAGGACGTGCTTTTAAAGCACTAGTTGTATAAGCAGAAGCAAGGCGTGCTCTAACTTTGCGCGTGGCGAGCGTGGGTGTAAAGCGTGCACAATGCGTGTTTAGATCCTGTGCGTGGTCGGCGCGAACCATCTCAACATGCTCTTCAGCGGGTGTCATGCATGGCAGCAGCATCTTCCTAATAACAATTCAAAATAATAAAAATCTGCGGTGGCCTATCCGTCTGTCACGCGTCGCGACTATGACAAATATCGTTCCTATAAAACAATCTAAGGGTCATTGTAGACGTTTGATGGACTGAAATGAGTGAAAAAGGACGGTCATATTGTATGATGAAAGTATGATGTAAAAATTTAAAGCTATATAAATTAAAAGTAAACTATAATTATTAAAAGTACAGAGAAAATTAAGGGCGAGTAGCCATTACTAAGCGTAAGATACTTTGTCATGTCGCGGGTTACAAGTTCTGGAACAAATGACTTGGAAGCGAACTACATAATAGCCAATTATTATTGTTTGTATTTTTCACCGCTTGTAGGTAACAAGGTTCGAGGTAACTGAATACAATTCGCAAGGGTCTGACTTTTCATCTCTCTTTTGTCGGTTACAAAGTTGATGTTTTCAAGGCATGAGCGAATAGGCATTTGATGAGCTGAGCTAGTGCGCTCTAGGATCTTTGGCTACTATACCACTTACCATTCATGTGAGATACTAGTCATGCACGGGTTCATTTGGTAAATAAAGAAGAATCATGTATCAATAATCATGATGTCCTCCATTCTTCTGAATTACATAAAAAGTACCTAAACGAAACACAGTTTGGACAACATGTTATAATTCTTTTTGTTAGGGTAAATCGAAGTTAACTCATTATAAAGTGTTGTCATTATAAAATTTTGCTACATAGTATACAAATAGACGTAAAAGTAATGTTGATAGAAATTATCAACATTATATTATATAAATACCATCATCATCATCATTACTGCTGAACATAGGCCACCCTATGGAATTGCCTCGTAAGTGTGATATTGACATAGTTGCCACGTTTGGCACGCGGGTTGGCATCTGCAAACTGCAAAATGTAGAGAACCGGAGAACCTTTTTACTGGAATAGAGGCATTCCATCGTAGTCCTCACGGGTGACAACGCATCTGCAATTTGATTCTTAATTGAGGATAAATACACACGTCTATAGGCCACAGTATCTACTTACCATCAGTTGGTTTATGTGGTCGTTTGTCACCCTTATTATATTTAAAAAATAAATTATTTTTTTATTGTTTAAACATTTATTTGCATAACTAAAGATTTTATTTTAATTTTTATAAAGGAAATATTGTGTAATTTCTTATTACTTATGCAATAATACGTATTAGAGAAATCTTTCTTTAAAGTCATAAATAAAAACGAAGTACAGCTCAAATACGAGCACAGGCAGTCCTCTCATTATTATATTTTATAAGTTTAAATTGTTTCTACTATGTAGTTAGTTGCTTGCCGCTTTTTCTCACAAGATCTCCAGGTCTAGCATATTATTTATTCTGTGGCTCTAGGAATTTGTTGAAGCTATGGTATAACTTTCTTGACTTTCAGAAATTGCTTGGTAAAGGTCAATCTTAAATCAAAATACGAGTATTTTGCTATTTAACTGAGCTCTGGCTGGGATCCAAACCATGGAGTCATGTTATATTATCCAGGGTCTCAGATTACTACATTACACAGTCACACTCCTAGTTTATTATAAATATGTACCGCGTTATATTATCTGTTCACAGAATTATAAGCTCTGTGGGTTCATTATTTTCGCCATTTGTAATAAATGAGATTCACTCAAAATGCATTTTCCCCCAACTCCCGCTAATTTTACACTAACGCGTCGGTATCAAATTACTCTATGCATATATATAGCTGTCTAGTGGCGGACGCGGTATCCGCGAATATAATTTGCTATTTCCAATTCTATGCACCCCCGATGTTTGCTTGGTTGTTTTACGATATACGAATATAATTTCATACGAGTAAATGGTGATTATTTATCCGTCAATATAGACAATTTTATAATCGTTGTTTACATTCGTCTAGTTGATTACAATAAAACATTTTAGGATATTTAAAAAAATATAGATATATGTAAATAATGTGTAGAGCTACTTTTGTTTTCTCTTATTGTTGTTTTGTTATTCACTCCCTATTTCTGAAACTTTCTTTCTTTTCTGTGTAATGTATGGGTATAATACATCTACGTAAAAGTTCACAGGTGGATCAGGACCTTTCCCGTTAGAAAGATTTGTCGTAATCAACATGTTTAACAGGCGGATTGACCGGTGACGCTGGTCTGCTTATACACGTCTGGTGTAAATGAATAGTTAAACCGCCATCTATCGGATAATTTTTTTTAACATTAATTTACAATATAATAATAATTTATACAATAGAGTATAAACGCATTAGGACCAGCATGGGAAAAAGGGAGCATAATATTGTAATTGTACTTATCTATAGAGGAAAGAGTGGTAGCTACAGTAATGACACTATTTATTTTCCCTGTCTAATGTGTATAATCTTTGGATTTCTGCAAGATTTTCGTGGCGAAGTCTAATCTTACGATAATCACTGCAATTGGATATTAGGTTCACTTACACTGTCATTATCAACCAAGTTGTATGATGTTGCAAGTAAAATAAAAGATAATGTAAAGTTAAATCAATGTTTCACCTACATAATGTAGGGTCGACGTGCTGCAGAGGCGGTGCAGCGTTGGTTGCGAGCACTCTATTTGCGATCCGCTAAAATAAATATTTTATGAGACAGACTGAAGCACGCCGTGTAATCCGGACGCAAATGTTTTTGAAGTTTATATATCTATTGCTATTACAAAATAATTGTTACGATTTACATATCAAATATTGAATTTCATAGCAATCGTAGTACAGAAGAAGAAATAATAGAAGTTAGTTTGCGTATTATCTATCTGTCTGCCTGTCCGAGTCGGGTTTTTACTTCTGCATGGATGCGAGATAGTAATATAAAAAGTAAAATTACAGCCTATACGCGTCCTACTTCTGAGCACATTCTTCCTATAATTTTAGGCTGACATCACGTCATGTTCTCGAAATATTTTGTTTGTCACACTGTGGTGTTCGTTTCGATATTTTCCTTTAAAGAATAACCTATTGTAAATAAGCAGTTACCTGGTAGAGCCATGCTGCAGCTATATTGATAGTATAGTTGTAGCCCGAATCGGTCGGCTCGACCGGGGAAGGACCACGCTCTCACAAAATACCAGCGTAAAATAGCAGCTTAACACTGCTGTGTTTCATATGGAGAGTGTAGAGAACCGGGGAACCTTTTTACTGGAAAAGAGGCATTCCATCTTAGGGTACGCGTACACCTAATCCGTCAACGGCCGAAGTTTGCTCGAGCGATGGCGGCTGAACTCAGACGATCGAATCAAACACTTGTAAAAGAAAGAGAATGCGTACATTAACACGACCGTCATCGTCCGATGACGCACGAAATCGGCCGATCAACCGTTGAGTTCGAACTTGTTGGGATTTCTCGCCAGATTGCCGGCGTCTACAGTGCAAATTGAGTGTATTTATAGTTAAATTTAATCATTTTGTCTTTATTCTGTTGTTTTTGTTAGTGTTGTACCTAAACGACTATGGATATTGAAAAATTAATTAGTTGTGTTTATAATAGACAATTACAATAATCGAGAGGTTTCGAAACGGCTATGGGCTGAAGTTGGATCGGAAATGGATATAGCGGTTCCAGATATTTAAAAAAATGCTTCTTCACTCTGTTACGCAACACAGTCAACTACAGAACACCGGCAACGTCTAATGTCGGCACACGTGGAGCACTGTTGCAGTGTAAGCACATACACGTCCGAATTACTCGTCCGGGTAGTTCTGTTCGCCATCGGCCGAGAAAATCGGTTTTGGTGTACACGTACCGTTGGTGCTCAGGGGTGACAACGCATCTGCATTTTAATTCACAAACGAAGATAGATGTAGATGTCTATGGGCCACAGCAACCACTTACCATCAGGTGGACTATGTGCTCATTTGCCAACCTTATTCTATAAAAAAAGCATTTAAAATTGTTATTTATAATTTTTGGATTCAAACTCATATTGCTAGTGTAATGTGAAATTTACGGCCATCGCTTTGCCCCTGAGCTTGCATCAGAGTATACACCCTCATATTTTCGGTATTGAAGGATAAAGTAACGGAAATAATTACAGACGATATGTGATATGTTAGTTTAAACCCTAAGGGGTCAGAGGTGATATCGCAATTGTAGCCTTACTACTTTGGAATTAATTGCAGCATCCTAAATGTATAAAGTAGTGGAAATTAATTGTATATTATATACATACCCTCGGTATTGATATACGGCGGCATTAGCACGGCACTATACGTGGTATTAACGGCAATTTGGTCGAAATGCCGGCTGGGTGACAGGGCGAGGCGGCGCGCCCTCGCTGCTAGGGTACCGTCGTCAGCGTGCACGTTGAGCCAGCGCGAGTCGTAGTAAGAACCAGGACTGCCGTCGGACGTGCTGCTGCCCGGCGATAGGGCGGCCGCCTCTGCGGAGTCCATGATGCGCTGCGAATATTTTTTTACATTAATGAATGTTTAATATATTTACAAATAAAGAAGAGCAAATTAAATAATGTAGATTATTATTTTAACTTAATATAATTATTTTTAAAAAAGTCTGGGCGATAAGCGACCATAATGGTAAGCATAATGGAGACATAATGCCATATGACATACTTTCCCAGTCTACCACCAGATCTTTTAGAAATAATTTAGATATCAATATAGAGTAGGGGAGACCGTGGATGGTTGACTATAGGGGCAGGTTGACTTGCTCTCAAAAACTCGACCTACTCAAAAGTGTTGCCTTATCCAAGTAGGCGCGAAAAACCGTTTTCTAACCCCGTTAAGGTACCGGAAGAGCGGCATCGTCTACGCACGTCGTTTGGGAGAAGGAGTTTAATATCCAAAAACAAACAATGTATGTAATTGTTTACCTTCAAATATATTTTGTAGTAACGCCTACATACTCGTTGTTATTTACTTTCAAGTAATTTAAACTAAAAGTTGGATTGATAATCTTTTTATTACGTATCATTATTTTTTATTTCGCCACAGTTTTGAGGCTACACCATGTGGTTAAAAATTAAAAAGCGATCCGGGGCTGGTAGACTAATTTATTTTGGGGCTGGTTGACCACATAGTCAACCTACCCCATAGTAGTCTGGGTATACTTTACATGGAATAAAGTTAGTTTTCTTTTTAATTTATCAAATGCTTGTTGCAAAACCATGCGAACGTACAAATAAAAAGACTGATCGAGGAAGTACACCCAAAGATGTCTTCGATAGAGCATGTCAACAAGTTATAAAAATATGTATTAATTCTACAGCAAAAGAATTTGCTACTGTTTATAACACCCAACACCAGGTGTTAAAAATAAAGAAAATGTTAGAAAGAAAACCGGCATTGACGAGATTTAAATTGACTTTGGGAGCGCTGGCTGCACTAAAAATAGACAAATATTTAGTGATGAGGAAGAACTCGCATTAGAAAATTACCTCAAGAGGGCAGCTGATATTTATTACACATTTACTCCTTATGAAACTCGAAAGTTTGCACTATTTATACAGACAGACTAACAAGGGTAAAAGAAAAGAAAGAGGAAAAAAGATTTTCATGAGAAAATTAAGAGGAATAGTGACGAAGAATACAAAAGTGATGAGGATGATACATTTTATTTAGAGTGCACTGAATCTCACATTTTGGGTATTTCTGGAGGAACATGGATTCAGTGCACTATGTGCAAGTTATGGGCCCATACACAACACTGTGCAAATGGTAATATTTTGTTCCATTAATGCAAAAATTGCACCTCAGATTTAGAAGACTGATTTGATAATTCCAAAAATGTGATCTATTTCGTTAAAAATATGTAATTATATTAGTTGAATTAGTCAAGACTGTTTTTTTCTTTTGTATGTTATTGAGTTAATAAAAGTTTTCTAGTTTCAGACACAAAAAGTATTATGTTTTCAGTGTTTAGTTGACAAATTTTTAAATGTATGATTGTTTATTTTAATTTATAATAATTTATGATGTATATTTAAATTGTCAGGATTGAAAATTTAATTGTAATAAAATTACAAATACTTCTTATATCTTTATCATAAATATTCCTATAATGTTTGCTAAGTATTTCATAGGTCAACTTACCCCTAGTGACAAGTCAACCAACCCCGGGCATGGGGTAGGTTGACTCATATTTCGTGGTCTACAAAATTAAGCTTGTGCACTATATCATAGTTGATTGCGAGCTTTTTGTTATTTTTTACAGAAGCTTAATAGTTTACCTATCAGATGTATTGATTTTTACAATAATATACATCAAAACAATGAAAATACAAGCGTCTTCACTGAAATTTGGTCAACCATCCCCGGTCTCCCCTACTAGATATGAAAATTTTATTCAGGGATTTAAATATACAGCAAAATACAAACACAACATACACACATAAACAAGCATAGACATACATATTATGCCTTCATTCATAATTCGAAAATATCGAAAGAACTAAAAATAAAAGTAAATATGTTTTCTTTATCTAATACTGCAGGAGTAGTTACTCCTCTCCTGCAGTGTCAGATAGTGAATACAAATCGGTACGTATGTTTTTCATTAAATCATTCCAAACTAACGGCTTGTAAGGTACAAGAGCTGTACAAGAAGCCGGTGTGACAGAACGTTAAGTGTAACTGTAAATTTCAGCGTAGAACCAAGAGGACAGTTATGTGATACACCCTGATATTGATATTTGCATTTTAAACATTCGGGGACAAACGGATTGTGTAAGACAGATAGCAGCGTAAAATGTACTGAACAGTGTAGACACAAAAATATGAACTAGAACAGAAATATGACCATATTCACTATACTATTAAAATATTATATCATTAAAGAGTAACAGATATGGATAATAAACTTTTGTAAATTTAAAAATTTATACGTATTTGATTTAAGTGAACGTCACAATACTAAAAAAAATATAAAATAATCACCTCTCTGCAGATAAAAACTTGTCTCATTTTTAAAAGAGTAATGAAGTATATAATCTTCGCATCATCATCCGTGATATTAATTTAATTTTTAAATACATAAGTTTTCTTTCCGGCCAAATAAGTGATAGAACAAAAAATAGAGTTAGTGATAGAACACTTAAAATTGCAGTTAATAATTTCATTTGAACTGTAAGCGGGAATGAGGTCGTCGTTTCCAAATTCATTACAGCCTGTTAAATCCAATGCTGAACATAGAATTCCCTAAAGATTGCCTCATAAGAGGTATAATTGCCAAAGTCGCCACGCTTTGCACGCGGGTTGGCAACTGCAGTTTTATTTTCTGGTCGTTATTAGGAAGGCGCTGCTTTCCATCTTCTGATTTGTTTCCCTCTGTCGCCTCTTACGACACTCATTCACCTATTAATTGATTAAAATTGAATTATTGAATATAAGCAAAATTCTATCAAAAGAAGCCACGCATTAGAAGAAGAAACGTCTTTCAAATTGAAAATACTTTCTGAAATTGATACAAATTTATTTAATAGGTTCTGTGAATAATAACTCTCACGATAACATATGTTATAAGTCAATATCACGCGTGGAAACATTATTAAATTCAAGTTATTATGGTGCAACCTCTCAAATGTAAGGAAATTCACCCAATTATTTTGTGAGGCTCGAGCCAAAATTACTCAAATTTGCTTTAAATATACAAAAAGTTTAAAAGTTACAGAATACAAGGTTTGAAATTCCCGCTAAAATTTTTTATATGGGCGCTCACTGTGGCGCTTTTAGTATACACTCATAAACACGTGTTTCCTTTTTTTGTATGAAGGTGGCGTTCTTTTCTCGGTAGAGAGTAATTGTGTTCTGTGCCCATGTATTCTTTGACCGACCATAGATAATACACTATATACCAGGGACCACCGACGGTTTGCTCAGTTACAAGTACCCTACGTATTATAAAATTAATAGTAAAAGTTCGACTTTTTGATTTTTGTACGATCTTAAAAATATAATATGATATATTGCACATTTAATGATGCGTAATAAAAGTTATAAAAATGCAAAGGTAAAAATCGACACAAAAATAAAATAAGAATATAAACATAATGAAATTGGGGTCAAAACATGTGTTGCATTATAATTCACGGACATTCTTTATTCCAGTTTCCATTCCAGCTGAGTTCATATTTAATTAAGTCGTGACATGAATACATACAATTTTAGTACAGAATAGGTAGGAATTTACCGCAGATCAAATTCCATTGGGTCGATATGGTTAACACATTTACCTTATTGCTATTCCCGTTGTAATATAATTACTGTCTCAAGACCTACTGATTAGGAATATTAATTCAAAATTGAAAGACGAATTGTGTTTGAAATAAATCGCCACATTATATTTATTCATAGATGTTGCAAAAGCCCACAAAGATAATACAATAGTTGAAGATGACGACGTGGGTTCTAATTTTAAATTCAATGCTCCCATTGCTACGTTGTACATTGTTACATTGTACGTGTAATTGCGTTGTTATTCCAAGTGAATAAAAATAATATAAGTAAAGATAAATTCAATTAAAGATTTTTTTTTAATAGAATAGGGGTGAAAAACAAGCACACAGTCCACCTGATGGTAAATGGATGCTGTGGCCCATAGAAATCTAAATTTATCTTCGATTAAGAATCAAAATGCAGATGCGTTGTAATCCCTGAGGACTAAGATGGAATGCCTCATTTCCAGTAAAAAGGTCTCCAGTTTTTTACACTCACTATACAAAACACAACAGCTATAAGCTGCTATTTTATGCTGGTATTCTGTGAGATCGTGCTCCTACCCCGGTTGAGCCGACGCATTCGTGCTACAACTATAATATATGTAGCTGCAGCGTGGCTGTACCAATAAAAGTTAAAGTTAAAAGGTCACGAGTTTAGAATATTTTCACATCATGTCATCAACATAGATGAGTATCAGATAATGATATTGTTGCAATAACGTTCGTACCAACTTTCAGATTTCGAAATCAGTTCTAGGGTTGCCAACCCTACTATTTAATATACTGTTCATATTAGGGGTCCCAATATTGTAATTTTATATGTAGGTTAAACTACTACTATAAATTAATAAGTGAAACAATAAAACAGCAAAAAGTATTCCTTTAACAATAGGTAAGGGGGAGAAGGGGGATAAGGGGGAGACGATAACACCAATTTAGTCGACCCCAACTGTCAACATCACCTGTTCACGGTACACCCACTGCTAGACAACAGAAGAGGCTACAGCGGCCTTGAAATCCAAATTACTCCTAAAATGTCTGGTGCAAAAGACAAGGGGGAAGTCACTGCACTAATCTCCCATGAAACATGAAATCGATATGATAGTGAATAATATGGCGAAGGCACTAACCTACGGACACGACCTTTGTTCATGAAGAACTTGACCAGGAATAAGAACAATGAAATACTTATTTGATAATACATGCTTTTTTATTTTTTCGTCTTCT